AACTAAATTTCTCATGTAGAAATCAGCTGAGCTTGTAATGTCCACTGTATCTGTAAAGCTATGGCTTGAGAAAGATTTAACTATTTAGAACTACGTCTGAAACTTTCCTTGTGCTAATATATTTGACGCACACACTGTTTAAGATGAGGATCTCATTCCAACAAAACATTGCTGTTACAGAACATAAGGAGGTTCAGAAAGCCTTACAGAATATCTATCTTGACCGCCAACCAAGACTCGATGTAGTGTTGACCTGAAAATGATCCCCACAACAGAACAATTTCAACATCACGGAGATGAAAGTTCGGTAAATTAGATATTCAATTATTTTATCTCCAAGAAACCATAAATTCCAGGCCCTCAACTATAAATTTTCAGGTTTCCAGAATTATCAAACTTCATAACCCAACCAGAGAATATGAATGACTGCTTTTACGAAGAGTTTGTAACTTCAGACATCAGTGATTGTTTTTCTTACACCGAAACCACCATAAAGATAATGAGGTTCAATGTGTGCTAGAACATGAGAACTCCTTGACTGAAACAGCTGTTTAATTAAAAACTGAATGCTTCTAGAAAAGACTGGTAAAATATGGGAACTCCTTGTCTGTGTTTGACATTCAATTATTGGCATAATTTGTGTTAAAACGCAGATAAGAAATATGCAGTTGCAATAGCTCAAGATCCATTCTCATTTTTTCAGGAGGGGGAAAAAAGGATTACTGTGCTTAGTAGAAACTCATAATTACCTGAAAGAACAATTGCTCCAGCGCTCCAGTAAATCTCCAAGATTCACAATAAATGCTCTGCATACCGTGTATCAACTATTTATTTGCAGCCATCATAGAATGCAGCATGATACTTATCATTGGGACTAATCTATAACAGTTATGCTGCAACAATAATTTAACCAGTAGTCCTCAAATAAAAATAAGAATGGCAGAATGCCAAGAGCATAACCATAAGAAAGTTCTTTAGGTTAATGACCTATACTAATTCATGAGCTGAAGACTTTTTGATCTATGGAGTGACAGCATAATATCCTTTTTTAATTTTTTGTTAATATATGTATTATGAAATGTCCAAACACACCAAACAAGGAATCATGAACAGAAAATTCGTTTCTACTCAAGAGAAACTGATCGTTGAGAGAAAAAGGCCTTACCCTTTTACTGGTGACACATATTCCCAAATCTGAGGCTCAACATGCTTGTCCTTGCATATCTGCAATGGAACAGCAGGTTCATGGTCCCACTCAAGAATAATTATGGGATCATTCCTAATCAATCTAATTCCAACGTTTGTGTATACCTGAAGACCAGTGACATCATCTGTGGCTAACAAGGTAAGCAAGCCAAAGTCACTGTGGGCACCTGCACCATATATTCCGCTCTCTGGTTCAGAGATTTTACCTGAAATTAATCAAGCTCATGTCAGCTTATAAAGACAGCCTTCTTTAGGAAACTGTCCACAACCTGACCTTCATAATGTAGCAGCCGCAAAGTTGCAATAGGATCGCCTAGCATTTCTGATTGATCAAAAAAGTTTCTATCCAGGTCAAGTGCTAGGGCTATAATTCTAGCAACTGCCCTTGCAACCTCACTGAACGCAAGAATAAAGATAGAGAGGATGTCAGTATCAAACAAGCTGTAAAAGCAGTCTGCAAGATGTAGAGCTAAATGCAGGAAGATTTGGAAAGAACTGCTGAAAGTACATCACAAGATAATAATCAAGAACCTTTCAAATTTGGGAATAGAAAAGATGCAGAACCAGACAACGACTTCAGTTTCATTTCAACATCATTGACTAGTATTGTACCTTGGAACAAGATAAGCCTTTCCAAAATGAAAAGCACCAATATTTCAATGGTCAAATGATGAACAAAATGATAGGTTCTCGCTTGAGAAATGTGGTGATCATTGTTTAATTACCTGATAATTAAACACAGAATTCCACTCTTCAAACTAGGAAGAATTAACAGTGAATGTGTGGATTCAAGCAAGTGCTTAAAGACATCATAGGCGACTCAAAAAATTGTGTCTAAGTCTAATCAATTAATGTATTAGAAATGAGAGCGAATACAAAATCTATGTATTTGGACTTACTCAACACGATTTGATGACACATATTCATCAATAATGACTGTTCCGCTAAAAGAAATAATGATTTATCTGATTTTGTAAATATACAACCGCATGGGAGCAGAGATATAACATCTTATGCATCAGTGACATCGAATTAAGTAATTTAACCGGATGGCCAGCAATTTACAATCTAAGTGGCCCAACCACCAATTTCATCAGAATTTAACACATCAAATGTTGTTAAGGTGATGGAAATGCAAATTGGTTAAGAAAAAAATATACCCTTGCACCCAAAGATGATTAATCAATATGATTAACTAAATTGATCCGCTGCTTACTCATACAACAGCAAAGATGATTCAGGTCAGTACTTGACATTAAGTTACTTCTGCCGCACCAATGAGTACAACCACATGCAAGAAAAATAGATAGTTTTTCTGATACATGATAGGCATCTCAATACTTACAGTGCTTCACGGTGGTATCTCTCCATAGTTTCTCTCCATCCAGGCAAAATATCTTTACAGAAAAAAAAAATTCCACTTTTAACCAAAAGATTTGCAAGATTTATGAAGCAAGATTGATGTTCAACATGTAACAGTAATTGCGTAGCAAAGTTACCTGCTGTAGGCCACAAGTTTGGTCCACGAAATGGTTTTTTGGCTTGAGGATCATCTTCTGGTATTTCCACACCAATGTAATATCCTTCTTTATAATCTCCTACAAGAACATCAGGGCGCAGAAATGCTTATCTCAAATAAAAACACGAACTTAGTTCTGCTGCTCATTCTGGTAAGTGGCATGTACAAACATCACATAAGAGAACAGAGGATGCAGAAAGAAAAGGAGCATATAAACAACATAAAAGAGGCCTGATAAGTGACATTTGATAGCAATGCTAAATATCGCCACAACCAGGAGTTGATATAGTCAACATGTAAGGCCGGAAAGTGTAGCTGAAAATGAAAATACTCTAAAGCGACGAGAGAATGAACTCCAACTATTCACTTGTATAATGCATTGGCTACACCTGTCCTTATATTCTGGTATAAACAATCATCGGATATAAAAATTAGGATAAACGCAATAGGTATGAGAAAACAAACCATGTATCTGGTTGACAGGATCCAAATGCTGATCTAGAAGAGGAGTGTAACCACGGTTTTTTTCATTCCTGAGAAGCTTCATCTTTTCATCAAGTGGTAGACTAAAGAACCTTTTGCTTTGAGAAAAGACCTCATCCATAAATTCTGGGCTGATGCCATGATTGACTACATAAAAAAATCCAGAGTCCAAGCAAGCCTAAATAAACGATAACATCATTAGGAGTAAGTAACTCAACTCCCAGAATGATGCCAATCATTGGAAAGCACTGATATGGAGAATGGAAACGGCTTTAGATAAAGGTGTATATTATTGTAAGAGTATTTGTGCAGGCAAGAACAGGTTATCCATGTATAGCTGCAATAACAAATTAATGCAGCACTAATCAATAAAAGTGATCATAGAATTGAGACGCAGAGTTACGTTACGTTACTTACTGTATCTATTGCATCGTTGCATGGAAATATTATATACTAACTTAACAACTGAACAATTCATTACTTGCTAAGAAGTATTAGTCCCACTTTCTACTGATATATTCACTCCTTTAGTTCTTCAACCTTCAAACTAAATTACTCATCATCGGAAAAAACTGTAAATTTACCCCACAGATAGACCAAAGAATGCACAAAAATAGCAGGTGTTGTTGGGGGGGGGGGGGGGAATAAAAAGAAAAGGAGTGGAGTGCCTGCCTGTCTGAGGAGAGAGACAGATTTTTGTATGTCGGAATTGGAGAGGTCTATACAATTCAGTGCCGCCATATTTGCAGATGCTGCCGGAAGCTTTTGCTCGTCGATGGTTTTTTCAACTCTATGGTATAAGAGCCAATCTTAAGAACACCGAAAAAAGTGATGAGTCCGCCATATATTTTAAAAAAAAAAAAAAAAAAAATCTGACCTCATGTCTACCTCTTGGCTTTGAGGTTAGAAATTGGAATTTTGCAGATAAGATAACACCGAAACACGTCTCTTATCTGGATACCACCGAAACATTTTTGTGCCACAAAAGATTGCGTAGACTCATTTAATTCTTTTGTGGATAAGTACCGATGCGTTTACGTGTTAAATTTTTTTTAGAAAAATGGAGATCAATTGAAAAGGCATATAAATGCAAGAGAAGTTAATAACTATAAGTATCTTCTCTATTCATACAATGGATTAAATATTATTTAGATATGCTAACAAAGTGTTCGTAAACACTTATTAGAAAAACCTAAGAATAAAAGAACTATTTGGATTCATCAGTTTTTTAAAATTAATTTTTTATATACTATAAAAATTTTTAAAATATTCTAAAACGAAGTCTAAATTGTTTTTAATATTTAAAATATATTCTAAATATTTTACTACCCTTAAATATTTCAAAATATACTCTAAAAACTTTGCTACGGTAAATCTAAAAGAATTTCAAAAAATACCCTAAAAAAAAAAGCTAATCCAAATGGATAGAATCGTTAACCCCAGAAGGAGAAGAAATACGTCTTTAAACAATTACAACACAAATGCTTTAACGCGGCTTTGGATCCTATGTCTCGGTGCATTGCATGTCTGCTGATAACAAGAGAAACAAAGGGGAAAAATGACAAACTCGAGGAATAGAAGGAAGTAAAGGACGTCGTCTGCATCTTCCAATCCATATCTAATAAAGGAGCATGAATATTCATAACAAATTGTAACGTCCTATTAATCAGCTCCAAGTCTATATTTAATCAGCTCCTATATTAAACAGAAATAATTAATTGATGCAAAATCGAAGGGGAAAAAAAATAAAAGAATGTGTATTTTCAAATGATGAAGTGACAGGAAAAGATGTTTAGGTGGCAGTGAGAACTGTGGATCGGCAAAGAGGACAAGAATTGTGATCGGAGAGCCACTGAGCTATACAAGATGAATGGAAGACGTGCCCAGATGGAACTTTTTTACCCCCAACGCCGGACTCGAAAACTTCCATGCAAATGATGCAGTCTCCCACTGCTTCCACCATCGGCATTTCACTCAGTTGATTCTGGTTCAAAGTCTTGGCTTCAAACAACTTTGTCTGGATATAGTTCTCCTCCATAGTTGTCATGGACAGAGCCATCTCCAGATCAAACATTCCTTCCATTGGCTTCAAACAACTTTGTCTGGTTATAGTCCATTTGACGCTGTTGAATTCAACGGCAAAGTTTACGTCCCTGGCCAGATTTAATAAATTTCTCATGTTCCTGATTTTGTCACAGTTTCCTTCATTAACCGAGCGGACAGTAATTAAATTATGCTGTCTTGGGAATGCAGACAAACAATTGCTACATATTTCCTGGATTTGGTTTTGGTTTGGTCATGTGTGGTGCAATTCTTGTTGATGATGATATGCTTCTGGCAGCATGTAAGTATTTGCATCTCAAGTTTTGCTGTCATGTGCGGTGCCGTTCGGGGATTTTCCGCTTAGTTCTACAATATCTTCATATTTCAGGTCTTGATATTTGCTTATGTTAATTGTAGTGTAGTATGTTGATACGTTTAGTCTCTATTTTGGAACAGCGGAAGCTTTGGCAAAGCAAGTTACAGACGAGCATTATGCACGGGGGATGATTTATCCTCCATTTGTAAATATCAGAAAAATCTCAGCTCATATTGCTGCTGGTGTTGCTGCAAAAGCATATGAGCTCGGTGGGTGCTCTTTACATATTTTCCTATGCGGGTGTTTAAAGGCCCCTCCTTTTTTATCTCTAAAACTCAAACAAGATTTGTCCCTAAATGCTGTTTGCTTATTATGTAGGTGTGGCAAGTGGCAACACGGCTTCCTCGACCTGCGGATCTGGTGAAGTTCGCTGAAAGCTGCATGTGCACTCCAAACTACCAAAATTACCGGTGATTTCTCAGTTTTGTCCTGCTGCTGGCGTGCCTTCATCCAATAAGCTGCGACGAAATGTGTCTGTACGCTCTGCCACGTAATCAGCTGATTTGTTGTAAAAATATGACGCTTGCACTGGTCTCTGTTTCTACAATTTATCTCACAATTAGAGGTGTCAAAATGGGTGACTTGGGCGGGTTTGGGTTGGGTAAAATGGGTAATGGGTATAAGTGAGTCAACTCATTTATACCCATTTAATTAGATGGGTATAAATGGATAAGTCAAAAAATGAATTGGGTAACCCAATTACCCATTTATAACTCATTTATTTTAACTTTTTGCAAACTCATTTAAATTCATTTTTACAAACTAAGTTATTAATTTATACCACTCTTTGTACCCATCATTAGTTTTAAATATTTACTTATAATGTTCAATAAACTTAATTACCAATTTTTTTCATTTATACTCTATGTCACAAAATTACCTATTATTTAATAATTGAATAATACGAATATAAAAATTTGAATTAAGTACTATAAAAACTTAATCCAAAAATTTTGAACCCCTAATATTTTTTTCATATATAAATTTAAAATTTCATTTTATAAAGATAATAAAATAGGCTAAAATTTATCATAAATTGGTAATGCTAAAAAACGAGCAAGTTAACAAACTAAGAAAAAATAAAATAATAAGATAAAACCAACAAATAATAATAATAATAATGTTAACATCATGACAAAATGAAAAATTTGAAAAAAAAAAAAGGTAGGGGAAAAGAAGAGATTTGGGGGGAAGAGAATTTTAAATGGGTTAATTGGGTTTGATGGGTTACCCAATAATACCAATTTAATAAATGGGTATTATTGGGTAACCCATTTATACCCATATATAAAAATTTAAAATACCCATACCCATCTATTCATGGGCGGGTATGGGTAAATCTAGTTAAGTGGGTTGATTTGCCACCTCTACTCACAATAAGCAGGTTTCTCCTTACTGTTGTGAGATCAATAAAATATTTTCCAGAGTTTGGTTGCCCTTCAACTCGAATATTGTTGCTCATTAATGAGTGCGGGAGATTTTTTCTTTTTTTGCACGGGAGCAACCAGTTGAGGAGATCCAGAAGTGCAAAGCACAGAAGTACTACGTAATTTCTAGTTAATGCAGGGGAATAGAGAAGGGATTCTTTGGCACTGCAGAACTTGCATTTTGCATAACGCGGTTGATTGCATAACGCGGTTGATATGGTTCTGGGGCAAGCGAAAATGCTGGGCGGAAAAGGTGTTATCATTTATTCTGTAGTCCGTACTTGGAGAAGGGAAGGGCTTTCTTTTTGCTCCTCCAAACTTGCATTTTGGATAACATGCAGATTCATGGGTTAGGACAAATAAATCCAGGAGGAAGGACAACATGGCTGATTGACCTAGGCCTCGGAGAATTGTATCAGCAAGTGGGTCGTCATTTTTGTTTAGTTCGTGCATTTTTTTTGATAGTCGTAGAAGTATTTAGCTGTTCACATGGTATCTATATCTATATCTATATGTATTCTAGAAGAGTTTCTAGTAGAGACCCTCTTAATGACTTTCAAACTTCTCATTCTTTTTTCTAAATTTTTGTATTTATTTTAATACATAAAAAGTAGTGGGTTATAACCAACCCTATCACAAATCAAATTTAAAATTTAAAACATTCTCACTATCTACTTCATAAACCGTTTATAATTTGTTATTTATACTTTAAATTATTTTTACTCCTTAATTAAAAACAAATGCTTATTCATATGCTATTTTAATACAATGTTATATTTTTATAATTAAGAAATATTTGTCACCACACTAACCCTATAACCACCCCTACAAATGAGCTTTGTAAATTACAATCATGTTTCAAAAAAATCACAAATGTGCAACTAAATATAAATTTGAGGGGGTAAAGTGCAGATAAATGTAAAGTTAAAGGGGTTTACTATATTTAATCCTAAAAAAAATTTCAAGAACGGAATAGATTTTTGTTTAGATTTTTATATTTACTTTAATACATAAAAAGTAGTGGATTATAACCAACCCTATTACCAGTCAATTTTAAAATTTAAAACTTTCCCATAATCTACTTCATAAACCGTTTATAGTTTGTTATTTATACTTTAAATTTTTTTTACTCCTTAATTAAAGACAAATGCTCATTCGTATGCTATTTTAATACAATATTACATTTTTGTAATTAAAAAATATTTATTACCACACTAACCCTATAACCACCCCTACAAATAACCTTTGCAAATTACAGTCATATTTCAAAAAATTCACAAATGTGCAACTAAATGTAAAATTGAGGGGGTAAAGTGCAGTTAAATGTAAAGTTAAGGGGGCTTACTATATTTAACCCTAAAAAAAATCTCAAGAACGGAACAAGTAGTGTGTTATAGGTTTTTGTCTAGATTTTTGTATTTATTTTAATACATAAAAAGTAGTGGGTTATAACCAACCCTATCACCAGTAAAATTTAAAATTTAAAACTTTCTCATAATTTATTTCATAAACCGTTTATAGTTTGTTGTTTATACTCTAAATTCTTTTTACTCCGTAACTAAAGACAAATGCTCATTCACATGCTATTTTAATACAATTTTAATTTGGGAGCATATAACATGATCAAGAAACAGCATAACCAATTAGGACTATATTTTGACCTCAAAAAAAAAAATTTGGCCTAGATGCCACTGACACGTTGCCGTAATTTGCGATGCCAATTGGGACTATTTAACGCTTTTTTCTTTTGCAAGGAGTTAGAACACTGTAAAGTTTATTTAGGCAAACTTTACTTCATCGATGATTTGAGTATTAAATTATTGAATATACTACAAATCCTATAATATTAGTCTGCTACAAAAAATAATTATTTTACTAGCATATGTTATTTGCGTACAAAATTTCAGAAGTAAATCAAATGCTTTTACTTATCTATATCTATATGTATTGCAGAAGGGATTTTTAGTAAAGACCCTCTTAATAACTTCCAAACTTCTCATTCTTTTTTCTAAATTTTTGTATTTATTTTAATACATAAAAAGTAGTGGGTTATAATCAATTCTATCGCAAATCAAATTTAAAATTTAAAACATTTCCACTATCTGCTTCATAAACCGTTTATAGTTTGTTATTTATATTTTAAATCTTTTTTACTCCTTACTTAAAGACAAATGCTTATTCGTATGCTATTTTAATACAATGTTACATTTTTATAATTAAGAAATATTTGTCACCATACTAACCCTATAACCACCCCTACAAATGACCTTTGCAAATTACAATCATGTTTGAAAAAAATCACAAATGTGCAACTAAATGTAAAATTGAGAGGGTAAAATGCAGCTAATGTAAAGTTAAGGGGGCTTATTATATTTAACTCTAAAAAAAAATTTCAAGAACGGAACAAGTAGTGGATTATAGATTTTTGTATTTATTTTAATAAATAAAAAGTAGTGGGTTATAACCAATCCTATCACCAGTTAAATTTAAAATTTAAAATTTTTCCATAATCTACTTCATAAACCGTTTATAGTTTGTTATTTATACTTTAAATCCTTTTTATTCTATAATTAAAAACAAATACTCATTCACATGTTATTTTAATACAAGTTTAATTCGAAAGCATACAACATGATCAAGAAACAGTAGAACCAATTAGGACTAGATTTTGACCTCTAAAAAAAAATTAGACCTAGATGCCACTGGCACGTTGCCGTAACTTGCGAGGCCAATTAAAACTATTTAACGCTTTTTTCTTTTGCAAGGAGTTAGGACACTATAAAATTTATTTAGGCAAACTTTGCCTCATCGGTGATTTGAGTATCAAGTTATTGAATATACTACAAATCCTATAATTTCAGTCTGCTACAAAAAATAATTATTTTACTAGCATGTGTTATTTGCGTACAAAATTTCAGAGATAAATCAAATACTTTTACTTATATTCTATATAATTTGAATAGTTTTTTAGCGAATATAACCATACTATGCAAGACCATCACTTTGTACAATTGGACCTAGCAAATTGTACATCAATCACAATTTAGATTTTGCTCGATATTTGTGCAGTTGGTGAGTTCCATCAGTAACACTACATCAAACTTCTAATATTGTTCCATACTCTTATCAACGTGTATTTCCAAAAATTATAGTTTTGAAAATGATACATGTGCTCGAAAGTTAGTTACGTGGTTGAGGTCAAGTAATTTTACAATATCACAAGCATTGTTGATAGCAAATTCAAAGAGAATATGGATATCCGAATATACAATCATGTGTACGGTAAACTTACTCTATTTAATTTAATTACTGCACAAATGTTTTAAATTTATAATCATAAGCTATACCTTTTTTTCATTCTTACTAGATTAAATATTTTCGAATACTTGTTTACATTCAAAGAATTAACATAGAAAACATGTTCTATGAGACATGTTCTATGAGCTATGCAAAAATTGTAAATAACTATGTGAAGATCGTTTTTCAAAAACAGTATGTATGCATTGTAATGACATAGTCGACACTGTTTTTAGGTAATTAATTTCATGTACATTTAATTTCAACAAAATTTTCTGTATTGTATATAACATTTTATTTGTCAAACAGGTACAATGTTAACATACAAATCAAATATTCCAGTGGTAATATGCATCTTAATCTACAGGACAGATATACACGACTCATATTTGATTGTAATGCTTCTTATCTCAAAGAATTACAAAGGAAGATAGAGTTTCTTGATATATGTTTATTTTTTATAATGCTATTTATAAATTATGTATACAAAATACATTAATTTTGAATTTCGCATGTATTTAATTCTCAGGACAATGGTGATAGGTTGTTCAACAACTGAATCAATTCATACAAAGATCATGCATTTTCATTTGTAGTACGCATTCCATAAAATTCAACAGAATTAATTAAATCATCAATTTTGGCTTTCGTACTAAAAGTTGATTGGTGTGAAAAGTGTTCGCACCTTCATGCAAGATTATCAAATCGGATGCATAATATTTGTAAGTATTTTATTTTAACAACATTTAATTACATTCATTTTTATTCATATATCATTCATTTTCTAATATAATTTTTTTTTTCAAGATCTATCTTCCGAAAAAGGTAATTTTTGAATAATATACACATTCTATCATATTTCAAACTATTGTTGGACAGATGTTATATTTTAATTGTATTAGTACAATTTTTTAACCTTTTTTAATTTGCCCTTTTATTTTCATTTTTTTAATAATGTCAGTACCATACGTAGCACGGATATTTACACTACTTATATAGTAATTTTCATTACAAGTTATCGTCATGTTACTTCACAAAGGATTAGATACATAATTGTGGATCTAAGACAATTTTGAAGAGCTTTCGTAGTATGTGGGAGGTTAAGTCTGAATTCAATTAAATCGTAAAATTAATGAAAGTAATCATTACTAACTGTAATCTAACCAGGCACAATATTCTGGCCTAGATCATCTCCCGAATGGGCCGAGTCAGGGACATTAGGCATTTGGGCAAAAGATGGCGTGTATGGGAACATTAGTCGTTTGGGCAAAGGTGGTATGTCATTTATGAAGCAGTATCAAATTTTCGGACCATCCACCGCAAATAATAAAAGCCAGCCAGCCAGAGCCAGATGTCTTCTGATATCCAAACAAATATGCACACAGGATATGGTGAATCAGACGCATAGACGAGAGAGTAATGACCTGCTAATAAAACTAACGTTGTTTACGTCTAACCTGCTGTCTACCAATAATCCGGAAAGAGTGACTAGCATGATGGATCTCTTGGAAACAATAAAATATTATGTACTAGATTTCTGTAACATTTCATATCATTCATAATGTAACGGCTGAATATACAATTTCATGTATTTTAACGTTTCAAAATCTGGATTATTTCAGCTAAGTCATAATTTTTGTGTTCCTAGCCATCAAATATTAGGGAAAAACCAACTGATAAGAATGTACATAACCATCCGTTACATGAAACAACAGATCAGCAAAAGGTTCAACAACCTTGCCAATCAGGGACGAACGCCTCCAGGGCATATGGCGCAGCGGTTGAAGGGTCAACCTTGTGTTGCTGGTTTCCCCACTAACCAGGTCCCCACTAATCAGGGTTCGTGCCCGTTGCGTCGCACATCCTGACGCGCCCGGAAAAGCTGTATGAGGCTATCGACTTCCCTCCGATTTGGTGTACCGGCTCGGGTCCAAAGGGTTCGGGTCGGGGCATATTCCGAGTTACAAAAAAAAAAAAAAAAAAAATCAGGGACGAACTATCCTAGGAGCTCAGATCAGCATGCGTATGTTCATATCTCTGCACCAAGTAAGCTCCACATATGATGGGTGGGAACCTGAACACAGATACAATAAATCAATGGCACAATGACACCATTACATCTGGCCAAAACATACAAAGGTTTTCCGCTGATCCACCTTGGATGTTATAGGTCAAACTAAATTTACTAACTCAACAGCTTGGCATCTACTATTACCGGTTCCAAGAGCGAAAAAAAAAAACTTGTAATTGAGAATTTACGACCAAACCTTTCACGTACGTGAACGTTGCAACCAATAGCAGATCTCTTCTGGCCAAAACAACTAAAAGAAGATAATAATGACCTACAAAATCCCATATCATGTATCTAAATGCAATACATACTTCGGAGGATTATCCTCTGACTGGCAGGTTGGCAGGCATTTGACAACACAATTGAAACTGGGCAGCACGAAGAAAGCAATCTGCCCACCATCACAGAGAGAAGAAGTTAGCAAGGCCCTGATCGCTGCTTACAGAACTAAATTTCTTACGGAGAAATCAGCCGAGCTTGTAACGTCCACTGTATCTGTAAAGCTATGGCTTGAGAAAGGTTTAACTATTTAGAACTACGTTTGAAACTTTGCTTGTGCTAATGTATTTGACGCAGACACTGTTTAAGATGAGGATCTCATTCCAACAAAACATTGCTGTTACAGAACATATGGAGGTTCAGAAAGCCTTACAGAATATCTTTCTTGACCACTAATCAAGACTCGATGTAGTGTTGACCTGAAATGAAAGTTCAGTAAATTAGATATTCAATTAGTTTATCTCCAAGAAACCATAAATTCCAGGCCCTCAACTACAAATCTTCAGGTTTCCTGAATTATCAAACTTCATAACCCAACCACTGAAAATGGATGACTGCTTTTACGAAGAGTTATTAACTTCAGACATTAGTGATTGTTTTTCTTACAACGAAACCACCATAGAGATAATTAGGTTCAATGTGTGCTAGAACATGAGAACTCCTTGACTGAAACAGCTGTCTAATTAAAAACTGAATGCTTCTAGAAAAGACTGGTAAAATATGGGAACCCCTTGTCTGTGTTAGACATTCAATTATTGGTGCATGATTTGTGTTAAAACACAGACAAGAAAAATGAGAACTAACAGTTGCAATAGCTCAAGAAGCATTCTCATTTTTTTAGGAGGGGGAAAAAAGGATTACTGTGCTTAGTAAAAACTCAGAATTACCTAAAAGAACAATTGCTCCAGCGCTCCAGTAAATCTCCAAGATTCACAATAAATGCTCTGCATTTTGTGCATCAACTATTTATTTGCAGCCATCATAGAATGCAGTATGATACTTATCGTTGGGACTAATCTAATCTATAACAGTTATGCTGCAACAATAATTTAACAAGAAGTCTAAAAATAAGAATGGCAGAATGTCAAGAGCATAGCCATAAGAAAGTTCTTTAGGTTAATGAGCTATACTAATTCATGAGCTGACTCCACAAAAGACTTTTTGATCTATGGAGTGACAGCATAATATCCTTTTTTAATTTTTTTTTTAATATATGTATGATGAAATGTCCAGACACACCAAACAAGGAATCAGGAACAGAAAATTCGTTTCTACTTAAGAGAAACTGATCGTTGAGAGAAAAAGGCCTTACCCTTTTACTGGTGACACGTATTCCCAAATCTGAGGCTCAAAATGCTTGTCCTTGCATATCTGCAATGGAACAGCAGGTTCATGGTCCCACTCAAGAATAATTATGGGATCATTCCTAAGCAATCTAATTCCAACGTTTGTGGATACCTGAAGACCAATGACATCATCTGTGGCTAAGAAGGTAAGCAAGCCAAAGTCAGAGTGGGCACCTGCACCATATATTCCGCTTTCTGGTTCAGAGATTTTACCTGAATTAATCAAGCTCATGTCAGCTTATAAATACAGCCTTCTTTAGGAAACTGTCCACAACCTGACCTTCATAATGTAGTGGTCGCAAGATTGCAATAGGATTGCCTAGCATTTCTGATTGATCAAAAAAGTTTCCATCCAGGTCAAGTGCTAGGGCTATAATTCTAGCAACTGCCCTTGCAACCTCACTGAATGCAAGAATAAAGACAGAGAGGATGTCAGTATCAAACAAGCTGTAAAAGCAGTCTGCAAGATGTAGAGCTAAATGTAGGAAGAGTTGGAGAGAACTACTGAAAGTACATCACAAGATAATAATCAAGAACCTTTCAAATTTGGCAGTAGAAAAGATGCAGAACCAGACAACGACTTCAGTTTCATTTCAACATCATTGACTAGTATTGTACCTTGGAACAAGATAAGCCTTTCCAAAATGAAAAACACCAATATTTCAATAGTCAAATGATGAACAAAATGATAGGTTCTCGCTTGAGAAATGTGGTGCTCATTGTTTAATTACCTGATAATTAAACACAGAATTCCATTCTTCAAACTAGGAAGAATTAACAGTGAATGTGTGGATTCAAGCAAGCGCTTAAAGACATCATAGGCGAGTCAAAAAATTGTGTCCAAGTCTAATCAATTAATGTATTAGAAATGAGGGCGAATACAAAATCTATGTATTTGGACTTACTCAACACGATTTGATGACACATATTCATCAATAATGACTGTTCCGCTAAAAGAAATAATGATTTATCTGATTTTGTAAATATACAACCGCATGGGAGCAGAGATATAACATCTTATGCATCAGTGACATCGAATTAAGTAATTTAACCAGATGGCCAGCAATTTACAATCTAAGTGGCCCAACCACCAATTTCATCAGAATTTAACACATCAAATGTTGTTAAGGTGATGGAAATGCAAATTGGTTAAGAAAAAAATATACCCTTGCACCCAAAGATGATTAATCAATATGATTAACTAAACTGATCTGCTGCTTACTCATACAACAGCAAAGATGATTCAGGTCAGTACTTGACATTAAGTTACTTCTGCAGCACCGATGAGAGCAACCACATGCAAGAGAAATAGATAGTTTTTCTGATACATGATAGGCATCTCAATACTTACAGTGCTTCGCGGTGGTACCTCTCCATAGTTTCTCTCCATCCAGGCAAAATATCTTTACAGAAAAAAAAAATTCCACTTGTAACCAAAAGATTTGCAAGATTTATGAAGCAAGATTGATGTTCACCATGTAACAATAATTGCGTAGCAAAGTTACCTGCCGTAGGCCACAAGTTTGGTCCATGAAATGGTTTTTCGGCTTGAGGATCATCTTCTGGTACTTCCACACCAATGTAATATCCTTCTTTATAATCTCCTACAAGAACATCAGGGCGCAGAAATGCTTAGCTCAAATAAAAACACGAACTTAGTTCTGCTGCTCATTCTGGTAAGTGGCATGTACAAACATCACATAAGAGAACAGAGGACGCAGAAAGAAAAGGAGCATATAAACAACATAAAAGAGGCCTGATAAGTGACATTTGATAGCAATGCAAAAATAGCCACAGCCAGGAGTTGATATAGTCAACATGTAGGGCCGGAAGGTGTTGAAAATGAAAATATTCTAGAGCAACAAGAGAATGAACTCCAACTATTCACTTGTTTAATGCATTGGCTACACCTGTCCTGGTATTCTGGTATGTAAAAATTAGGATAAACGCAGTAGGTATGAGAAAGCAAACCATGTATCTGGTTGACAGGATCCAGATGCTGATCTAGAAGAGGAGTGTAACCACGGTTTTTTTCATTCCTGAGAAGCTTCATCTTTTCACCCAGTGGTAGACTAAAGAACCTTTTGCTTTGAGAAAAGACCTCATCCATAAATTCTGGGCTGATACCATGATTGACTACATAAAAAAATCCAGAGTCCAAGCAAGCCTAAATAAACGATAACATCATTAGGAGTAAGCAAATCAACTCCCAGAACGATGCCAATCATTGGTAAGCCCTGATATGGAGAATGGAAACGGCTTTAGATAAAGGTGTATATTATTGTAAGAGTATTTGTACAGACACGAACAGGTTACCCATGTATAGCTGCAATAACAAATTAATACAGCACTAATCGATAAAAGTGATCATAGAATTGAGATGCAGAGTTGCGTTACGTTACGTTACTTGCTGTATCTATTACATCGTTGCATGGAAATACTATATACTAACTTAACAACTGAACAATTCATTACTTGCTAAGAGGTATTAGTCCCACTCTCTACTCATATATTCACTCCTTTAGTTCTTCAACCTTCAAACTAAATTACTCATCAAAGAATGCACAAAAATAAACTTAAATCGAACGATAGCAGGTGTTGTGGGGGGGGGGGGGAAAAAAAAGAAAAGGAGGAGTGGAGTGCCTGCCTGTCTGAGGAGAGAAACAGATTTTTGTATGTCGGAATCGGAGAGGTCTATACAATTCAGTGCCGCCATACAATTCAGTTCGTCGAAATTCATGGTTAATATCCTTCTTTGGGTTTTCCTCGATTAAGTTAGGGAATGTCAGCAAGTTGCAGCGTTGACAAAGGAATAGGGAGAAGCTTTTCAAGAAGAAGTCTTCTGGGGAAGTTGGATAAAAAAAAAAAAGCCAGAGTGGGTCATTTTGTCAGTCTTGATTTGAGTTTTTAACTGTCTTGGAAATGGGCACAAAATCGGACTTCATTGGAAACCGATTCCAGTATTCTTAAAACCCAGCCCATCTTCAATTGGGTTGTCAGTTGGGCTTACTTCTCATGTTTCAAGGAACATCTTTCACTCTTTTGCGGCAACATAGGATCAAACTATTCTGAAAAAAAATAAAAATATATTTGCATTCTTCACGGACGTTGATTAGCGTAGGATTATATACAAGGACTCCTCTCACGTGTAGAGGCTTTCTCTCTCTCTTGGGAAGAGAGCTTCTTTCTCCTTGGTGGGAACTTCAGCGTTTGAAACTTCAAAGCAACCAATGAACACAGTTCAAAAGTTTGAAACTTTGCTATCTTCCAGTTACCAAAATTGTCTGCATGTTGGGATCGTAAAGCCAAGCATTCACTAAGGATCCAGAATCAGATATCATCAAGAAGGCATAGTGAAGGAAACAAGAACAGGGGAGCGGGTTGTAGAGTGAAAAAAAAAAAAAAAAAAAAAAAAAAAAAAAGGCAAAAATGCAGGAAAGGTAAGGGTACTTCAGTTAGCCTATTTCCTGAGCAACTGGTCGGAAAATTCCAACAACTCTGGTTAAGGAAGGACGTCTAGTGAAGGTATTTTAACTGTTCTTGCTCTTGTGCTCTTTTCTTTTTTCCTAGTACATTTGGCTCAGCTATTCAGCTCAGTGTGTTTGTCTGGAGAAAACGTTATCTTTTATCTTATTTTTACCTCTATAGGGTTAGGTGTTTAGTGTGGCTGGTGGTAAGTGCTAGGAGTGCCATCTGGTTTCAGCTTGGGTCAGAATGGAGGAGGAATTGGTGGAAGTGTTACAGAAATTCGCCCTCTCAGAAAGGGAAGTAGGGGGTACCCTTCTGGAGTTGGGGGACCTAGATGAGGGCATTACAGAGTGTCAGGGTAGTATCATAGGGAAGATACGGGGGGAGAAGATTGCTAATTTCACAGGAGTTAAAAATTTTGCTACTGTGGCTTGGAGCTACCCTAAAGGTCTTAGAGTAGCTGAGTTAGGTCCTAATGTTTTCCAATTTACTATCCCGGATGCTAAGGATAGGGAACGAATTCTTGGAGGAGGGCCATGGATCATAGACAACCAGATTTTAGTGCTTAGAAATTGGGAGGTGGGGATAGAGGAGGATGAAGACGCGTTTAGTGTAGCTCCGGTTTGGGTGCAGGTATGGAACCTGCCCATACATTGTCTGTCTAAGACAGTGGGAAAGAAAGTGGGATCTATCTTTCGTGAGGTTAGGGAGGTGTTAATCCCTCAATCAGGGGGCAAGGAAGGGAAACATATGAAACTTCTGGTTCTGATAGATATTAAACAGCCTTTGTTGAGAGGTTCAACAATCCAGATGAACGGGGTGAGTAAGTGGCTGTCTTTTAAATATGAAAAATGTCCCGACTTCTGCTATAGTTGTGGTGTCATTGGGCACAGTGAAAAGAATTGTAAGTGCCCTGTGATGGTGAAAAAGGGACAATACCAGAACCAGTATGGACCTTGGATGAGGGTGTTTGGGGGAAGAGGATCTCCTCAGAAGGAAGGTACCCAAAAGATTTGGACGCCACACAAGCAGGTATGGAAGGTTAGAAATGGGGAAATGATCAGAATAGAGGATTTAGAGAAACAGGAGAAAGGGGTAGGTCTGTATGAGAATATGGATTTGAGCAAGACAAAGGAAGTTAGGGGGGAAGAGAGCCAGACTCATGAGTTAGAGAAGGGGGGACTCACTATTGCAGATAGGGAGAAGGCTGGTAGGATATTACCAAATTGGAGCTCTGAGAAGGACAGGGAGAAGGTGATAGGGATGCAGGAGGGTATTAAGAGTAGTACAGGAATGGATGTAGTACGAATATTGGAGGGTAGGAATGATGAGGGTACTAATATGGGAAATACTGAGAAGGGAGAGGTTGGAAGGACAGGAGAAGGTAAAGGAGGGGAACAAGAAATACCCAGGTCAGGGGAGGAGCTAGTGAATATGGAAACAGATGAAACCACCAATAAAGAAAACCAAGGAGGGTGTAGGATAGAGGGGAAGAGGTTCAGGAGAGTGCACACTGGACCTAGAGAGATTAGAACTCCTCTAAAGGAGCTCAATGGGACAAAAAGGAAGTTTTATCTGTGTGATGAAGAAATGACAGATGTGGAGAACCAGGATCACATAGATAAAAAGTATAGGGGAGAACAGATTGGAGGGATAAGCAAGGATTTGTCTGAAGGGGATGGGATCAGCCCTCACTGGTCCCCAAAGGACCAATGAGAGCTATGGTGTGGAATTGCCAAGGAGCAGGGAGCCCCTTGACAATTCCCCACCTGAAGGAGGTTAAAAACCTCCTCTCCCTGAACATGATATTCCTGAGTGAGACTAAGAATAAAGCTAAGTATATGGAGAAGGTGAAAAGGATCCTGAATTATGATAACTGTTATGTGGTTGAAGCCATGAATAAGGCAGGGGGCATGAGCCTGATGTGGAATGAGGAGACTAAAGTTAAGGAAATTAAACATTCTGCCTTTACTATTGAGGTGTTGATAGAGGATGCAGAAGTGAAGAAGGATTGGTGGCTGATAGGGATCTATGCTAGTTGTGATAACCAGCAGAGACGAGGGCAGTGGGAAGTCATCAGTAGGAGGAAAGTTTTGTGGGGGGAAGACTGGCTTATTATGGGGGACTTTAATGACTTATGTTCTAATGAGGAGAAGTGGGGAGGTAGAATTAGGGAGGAGTGGAGTTTCTATGACTTCAGAAATTTTATTCAGGAGAACCAGCTGGTTGATTTGGGGTTTGAAGGTAACCCATGGACTTGGAGTAATCAGTGGCAAAATGGAGAAATTAGACAAAGGCTGGATAGGGGTCTAAGTAGTGGAAGTTGGAGCAATCTGTTTGAGCACCCCAAGTGTACTCATTTAGAAAGCTTAGCCTCTGACCATAGCATGCTGATTCTGGACACTATTCCAGGGGTAAGGAGGAAAAAAAAGAGATTCTGGTTTGACAAAAGATGGGTCCAGAGAGAAGGTATAGGAGAAGTGATTAAGAAGGCCTGGGATGAGGATGTTAGAGGATCCAGAATGTTCAGAGTTATGAATCAGATTAAGAGGTGTAGGGTTGCTCTGCTGAAGTGGAGAAATGATTTTATTGATAACACTAGGAAGAGGATCTCTACTCTGAAGCAGCAACTGATTAAGGAAAAAAGTTCAGAGGCTGAAGGTAGGAAGGGGAGAATAGCTGTTTTGAAGAATCAGTTAGTGGGAGCTTATAGGGAAGAGGAACTGTATTGGAGTCAGAAAGCAAGGCTCAACTGGCTTCAGGAAAGGGATAAGAATACTAAATACTTCCATGCAGTGGTGAAGGGGAGGAGAAAAAGGAATAATATAGGTAATTTGCAAAAAGAGGATGGGTCCTGGACTACGGATGACAAGGAGATAGCAGAAGAGATTGCTAGTTATTATAAGCAGCTTTTTAAGTCTTGTAGGACTGATGATTTTGAGGAGATTCTGGATGGCATTCCTTGCACTATTACTAGGCAGATTAATGAAAATATTACTAGACCTGTAGAGGAAAATGAGATAAAAGTAGCTGTTTTCTCCATGAATCCCAACAAGGCTCCAGGGCCTGATGGGATGACACCTCTCTTTTTTCAAAAATTCTGGTTAACCATCAAGGAGGAGGTTGTGAATGCAATCAGAACTTTCTTTCACTCGGGCCACATTCTCAAATCTCTGAACCACACCACTATATCTCTTATTCCGAAGGTAGAGTTGCCCACTGATCTGAAGCATTACAGGCCTATTAGCCTGTGTAATGTTTTATACAAAGTAATCTCTAAGATCCTAGCCAATAGGCTGAAACCTGTCCTGGATTTCTGTATCAGCAAAAACCAGTCAGCCTTCATACCAAACAGACAAATCTTAGATAATATTATCATTTCCCATGAATGTCTTCACTTCCTTAAAAACAAGAGACAAGGCAAGGATGGTTATACTGCTATTAAATTGGACATGTCTAAAGCCTATGACAGAGTTGAGTGGAGTTATCTGAAAGCTGTTATGGAAAGGATGGGGTTCAATTATATCTGGGTAGCATGGATTTTGGATTGTATTAGCTCAGTATCATACTCCTTCAATGTTAATGGAGAGACTAAGGAGTATGTAATCCCTTCAAGGGGCATCAGGCAAGGTGACCCACTGTCACCTTACTTGTTTCTTTTATGCTCTGAAGGTCTCTCAAACCTGTTAAGGAAAGCAGCACGACAAGGCAAGCTAAGTGGTTTAAGAATCAGCAAACAAGGACCTGCTATTACTCATCTATTTTTTGCTGACGACACCCTAATATTCTGTAAAGCTGCGGGGGAGGAAGCAAGGACTTTGAAAGCTATTCTGAATCAGTATGAGAAGGGATCTGGTCAAGTCATTAATTTGGAAAAATCTTCTATCTGTTTTAGCAAAAACACTAAGGCTGAAGATAAGAAGGAAACCTGTGAGTCTTTAGAAGGGGTTAGGATAGTGAGCCAGGGTAAATATCTGGGCCTTCCTATGGTGATCACAAGGACAAAAGGTCAGATTTTTGCCTACATTAAAGACAGCATAAAGACTAGGCTCAACAACTGGAAGAACAAGCTTCTAAGTGCAGCAGGGAAAGAGGTGATGTTAAAAGCTGTGACAATGGCCATGCCAATCTATGCAATGTCTTGCTTCAAGTTACCAGTTACACTTTGCAAGGAAATCTCAGGACTAATGGCCAAATACTGGTGGGGTGAAGTAGGAGGGAGAAACAAAATGCATTGGTGTTCATGGGACAGGATGATGAAGGCAAAAATGGATGGAGGTTTGGGGTTCAGGAATTTAAGATGTTTCAACAAGGCGTTACTGGGAAAGCAGATTTGGAGGATGCTCAGATTTCCAAACCTGCTGGTAAGCAAAATCTTAAAAGCTAAGTACTTCCCTAAGGACTCCATTTTGAACTGTAAAATCCCCAAAAATTCGTCCTGGTTCTGGCAGAGTATAATGTCAGCTAGGGAGGTAGTTAAGGGAGGGGTACTGAAGAGGGTAGGATCAGGGAAGAGTATTAGAATTTGGAAAGATCAATGGATCCCAAACAATCTGAATGGAAGACCAACTACAATGAGGGCAGATAGGGGGGAGGAACAGAGAGTGGAGGAACTAATTACAAACTTCAGATGGAATAGGAATGAAGTCTACAGGAGGTTCAATAGGGAGGATGCGGATAACATACTGAAAATACCAATCAGTCTGTCAAATTCTGGGGACAAGCACTTCTGGATACATAGCAGACAGGGAGAATACTCAGTAAAATCCTGCTACCAGACTTTACTCAAGGAAGAGAAAAGGAAAGAAAGTGATGCGAGAGGAGAGTCTGGGTCGAGCTATGATGACTCCAACACACAAATCTGGAAAACTCTTTGGGAGCTGAACATTAAACATAAGATCAAGCTATTCATATGGAGATGCATTACGAATACGCTGACAGCTAGGGAATCGATCTTCAGGAGAACAAAGCAAGGATCGCCATTTTGCTCAAGATGTGGGGATGGAATAGAAACAGTAGAACACATCTTGTTCCACTGTCATCAGGCCCAGAAGGTTTGGAAGCTGGCACCAGTACAATGGGATGGTTTACAGAATCAAACAGGATGCTTCAAGCAATGGTGGTCAGCATTAGTCCAAGCCAGAAATAGAAATGGAGGAAGGCAGCATATTGGATTGACAGCTAATATACTGTGGCAGCTATGGAAGGACAGAAATGAAATGGAGTTTGAAGGGAAAGAGAGAGATGGATGGAAAGCTGTACATAAAGCTAGCACGGAATGGATGGAGTATGAGGAAGCTGGAAAAAGGATGAATGAGGAAAGCACACTAGAAACAGATGAAGCAAGAGAAAGAGCTAGGGAGGAAGGAAGGGAGGAGGAAGACATGATGGAACTTCAAGTAGCTACTAAGAGATCAGCTGAGGGTAAGAGGTTGGGAATTGGGGTTGTAGCTAGGCAGAATGGAGGGAGAATCAGAGCTGAATGGAAGTTAATTGAAAGAAGTTCGGACAAGGATATTTAGGATGAAGCCGAAGCAGTAAGATTGACTATGTTGAAAGCAAGACAGTTGAGCTGGCAGAAAATCAAAATCATCAATGCTAACAAACAGCTTATTGCCTTGCTTAAAACTGGGATAGGGGACAACCCAAATACTGCTACATTGGTTGAGGATATACAAGCGTTAGCTAATCTGTTTCAAGTGTGCTCTTTTGAAGAAAGAACTAGTAGTAATATGACTCTATGTAATCACATTAGCCATTATGCTTTAAGCATATTTAGGGATGAGGAGAGGTTTTTTGGCTCTCCTTAAGTGTCTTGGTACACTTAGTATAGTTGATTGGGCCTTTGCTCAGATATTGTAAAGTTAGTTTTTTTATAAAATGACATCTATCGTTTCCGGAAAAAAAAAAAAAAAAGATTAGCGTAGGATTAAAGCATCTTCATTGTTTACAGTAGCACGGATTGCCACATCATTTAACTCTAAATTTCATGGCTTTTTTAACTCTATGGTCCAAGAGCAAATATTAAGAACACCGAAAAAACACTTGAGATCCTCGGTGAGATGTTTTCTATGCCAATTCAGTGCCACCAATAGTATTGTGCCAAGTGTCATGTTATTATTTACCCTTGTGTTAAATCAAGCCAAATTAAATTATTAAAAAATTAAAATGTAAATAATAACATGACACTTGACACAATATTATTGGTGGTATTGGGTTGGCATAGAAAACATGTCACCGAGGATCTCAAGTGCCGAAAAAAGAGATGAGCCCGCCATATATATATATATATATATATATATATATATATATATATATATATATATATATATATATATATCTGACAGTATCAGCAACCTCTTGACTTTGAGGTTAGAAATTGGAATTTTGCAGATAAGATAGCACCAAAACAGATCTCTTATCCGGATAATATGAAGATCATCGATGCCACTAATTTGAGAGTTATAAACGTTGATAAACCATTAATAGTTTTGTTATATAAATAATATAATAATGTTTCAATCTAATTTCACTAACCACTAATATTTTCAACCTGACTTTTAAACGCTTATCCTTAACTTTTAGGTAATTCCATTGTTCGATTGTAGGCTTTCATCCCAATGTTTAAAAATCTGAAACGAGTTCGATCGTTGAATTGTCTGGTCCGACTACAAACAAACGTGTCTTGTCTGGTCCTAACTTTCCAGTTTCCATTC